TTAGGTCTACCATTCCTGAAAGTATCATGTGTCTATTTAAAGCCGTTTAGGAGAAATCGTGCGGACAAACTGACCCTTAGAAAAACATTAAAATGCTTATAACTACGGACCGGAAGTGACGTCATCAAAACGGAAAAAAAACGCATAAGGTTCAAGTGAAGTTACATAAGTCCTGAAAGTTTCATAGAAATCCATCCAGCCGTTTTTGAGAAATCGCGTGCACAAAATCGGTAAGAAAAAAAAACAGTAATTATAAAAGTGAAAAAGAAACCTAAGAATAACAAGAAGGTCTTCCGCTGAAGACGGAAGACCTTAATAGGGAAAAAGAAACCGAACGAAAACAATAAGGTCTTCCGTTGGAGACGGAAGACCTTAATTATTAAAAATATCAGTAATTGTAGTTATCCACGTTTTTTTTTAAAATTCAAACAGATAAATGAAACTTGAATCTATTGCTTAAAACCCTCAAAACAAAATTTACAATACGATGTACTTGACAAAAACAGCAAAGGTCTGAGAAGAGCAGAGAATTGCAAGAGCAGAAAGATAGATTTATAGGCAATTTTCTTAAATATTAGTGGTCTTATTGTTCAAATTCGTATTCGGGGATGCAGTTTAATTTCTGGAGGAATCTAGAAAACAATTTTTTTGCAAAAAAATCAAAAGGCTAATGAGAATCAGGAATCCACGACATTAGATTTTTTTCATGACAGGGTCCAAACCCGAAAGCCCTGAAGAGTAAATGGGTCTTGGGGATAAACAAAAGTTAATGTTCATTCACATTAACAATATTCGCCTGATCTTTCGCCTTTTGACTTGTTCCATTTGCCAAACTTGAGAAAACGCCTTTCAGAAGGAAGAAACAAGTCCAGGAAATCATAGGATCTGCAATAATCCAGTATATAAAGGTTCATACCCGAAAATGAGTTAAAAAACAATTGAAAATGCATCAGAAATTGGATAAAAAATGTTACTGACATGTGTTTTAATGAAAAGATAATTTTAGGTTAAATCATTATAACTTATTTTAACTCAAATTATTGAAAATCGACTTTTGTTTCTTTCCGAGCACCAAAGACATTATACATTAAACGACCCTTGTATAAAGTAACCTACCGATGTACAATTTCAGGTGTCCTCTGGTCCCCCTACTGATGTACAATATGAGGTGACCTCTAGTCCCCCTACTGATGTACAATATACGGTGACCTCTGGTCCCCCTTCTGATGTGCAATATAAAGTGGCCTCTGATCCCCTTAATGATATATTTTATAAGGTGACATCTGGTCCCCATTATGATGTACAGTATGAGGTGACCTCTAGTCCTCCTACTGATGTAAAATATAAGGTGACTTCTGGTCCCCTTACTGGTACCCTACTGATGTACAATGTAAGGTTACCTCTGGTTCTCCTACTGTGTACAATATAAAGTGGCCTCTGGTCCTACTGATTCACAATACAAGGTCACCCCTGGTCCCCCTGCTGATGTACAATATAAAGTGTCCTCTGATCCCCTTACTGATGTACAATATAAGGTGACCTCTGGTCCCCCTTCTGATGTTAAATTAAAGATGACCTCTGGTCCCCCTACTGTTATACAATAAAAAGTGGCCTCTGCCCCCCCCCCCCCCCCCCCTACTGATGTACAAAATAAGATGTCCTCTGGTCCCCTTCTAATGTACAATGTAAGTTGATCTCTGGTTCCCCTACTGATGTACAATATAAGGTGACCCCTGCTACCCCTCCTGATGATCAATATAAAGTGACCTCTCATTCCCTTTCTGATGTAAAATATAAGGTGACCTCTAGTCCCCCTTTAGGTGTTAAATATAAGATGACCTCTGGTCCCCCTTTTGATGTACAACATAAAGTGGTCTCTGGTCCCCCTACTGATGTACAATATAAGATGACCACTGGTTCCCCTTCTGATTTTAAATATAAGGTGACCCCTGGTCCCCTGCTGGTATACAATATAAAGTGGTCTCTGGTCCCTATACTGATGTACAATATAATGTGACCTCTGGTTCACCTTACTGATGAACAATATAAGGTATCCTCTGGTCCCCCTACTGATGTACAATATATGGTGACCTCTGGTCCCCCTGCAGATGTACAACATAAGGTGACCTTTGGTAATCCTACTGATGTTAAATATAAGGTGACTTCTGGTCCCCCTACTTATGTACAATATAAGGTGACCTCTGGTCCCCCTATTTATGTACAATATAAGGTGACCTCTGGTCCTTCTGCTGATGTACAATATAAGATGACCTCTAGTCCTACTACTGATGTACAATATAAGGTGTCCTCTGGTCCCTTTATTGATGTTCAATATAGGATGACCTCTGGATCCTCTACTGATGTGCAGTACAATATAAGGTGACCAATTGTCTCCGAACTAATGTAAAATATCGGGTGACCTCTGGTCCCCGTACTGATGTACAATATAAGGTGTCCTCTGGTCACCCTACTGATGTACAATAACAACTGCTGATGATCAATACAAAGTGACCTCTGATCCTCTTACTGATGTACAATATAAGGTGACCTCTAGTCCCCCTTCTGGTATTAAATATAAGGTGTTCTCTGGTCCTGCTACAGATGTAGCGTACAATATTAGGTGACCACTAGTCCCCATATAATATAAGGTGACCTCTGGTCATCCTTCTGATGTTAAATATAAGGTGACCTCTGGTCCCCCTACTTATGTACACTATAAAAAGACCTCTGGTCCCCCTACTGATGTTCTATATAAGGTGAACTCTATTCCCCCCACTGATGTACAATGTAAGGTAACCTCTGGTCCCCCTACTGATGTACAATATAAGGTGTCCTCTGGTCCCCTTATTGGTGTACAATATAAGGTGACCTCTGGTCCCTCTACTAATGTACAGTACAATTTTAGGTGTCCACTAGTCCCCGTATTAATGTAAAATATCCGGTGACCTCTGGTCCCCGTACTGATGTACAATATAAGGTGTCCTCTGGTCCCCATACTGATGTACAATATAAGGTGACCCCTGGTCCCCCTACCGATTTAAATTATAAGGTGTCCTGGTCCCCTTACAGAAGTATGGTATGGTGTCCTCTGATCCCCCTATCGATATACTAGAGGTGACCTCATGTCCTTCTGCTGATGTACAATATAAATTGACCTCTGGTCCTACTACTAATATAAAATATAAGGTGACCTCTGGTCTCTCTACTGATGTACAGTACAATATTAGGTGACCACTAGTCCCCGTACTAATGTAAAATATTGGGTGACGTCTGGTCCCCGTACTGATGTACAATATAAGGTGTCCTCTGGTCCCCCTACTGATGTTCAATATAAGGTGACCTCTCCCCCCTACTTATGTACAATATAAGGTGTCCTCTGGTCCCCCTACTGATGTACAATATAAGGTGTCCTCTGGTCCCTCTACTGATGCACAATATAAGGTGCCCTCTGGTCCCTCTACTGATGTACAAAATAAGGTGTCCTCTGGTCTCCCTACTGGTGTACAATATAAATAAGGTGTCCTCTGGTCCCTCTACTGATGTACAGTAAAATAATAAGTTACCTGTAGTCCCCTTACTGATGTACGATATAGGGTGACCTCTGGTCCCCCAAATCATGTACGATATAAGGTATCCCCAGGTCGCCCCCCCCCCTATTATGTGCAATAAAAGATTACCTTTTATTGATTTAAAATGTAAGGTGACCTATGATCACTCTGATGATGTACAATATAATGTGACCACTGGTCTCCCTAATGATGTTAAATATAAGGTGGCCTCTGGTCCCCCTACTGATGTACAATGTAAGGTGATCGTTGGTCCCCCTATTGATGTACAATATGAGGTTATTTCTGGTCACCCTTTATTACTTTCACGTTTCTGCTAATATATATATTAGAAAGTTGATCTTTATAAAGTTTTAAATATGATTATTTTGGTGTAAGACAAAGAAAATTGTCTATCATATAAAATTCAACTAATATATAAGGTGACCTGAGGTCTCCGTATTGATATCGATGAATTTACTTTTGTGCCTTTAATGCCTGGAGAGTTCCTAGAATGTTTTATTACTACGCAAAATGACGAACTATTTGCGGGGGACCCCAGGTCCTAGCTGAGCGTACGTTTTATCCTTCTACAGTTTACGGAGACAGCCGAGCGTCTGATTGAACGAGACTATCATCTCCGTAAACTTTGACTGGTCGAGAGCTTTCGGCAAACCTCGGCTGATTCCCATTCACTCTTCAAACAAGAAATGGGAAAAGAATAATAACAAATTGTAAAACCTGCAAGCAATAACTATCAAATTTTATTTATAATGAAATTAAAGAGACCTTTTTATTTATTGCTATGAAAAATATCATGTTATTTAGAAATAGTTACTGCTGATTTTGTTGTTCGTTTTGTCATTTTTTAAGATTGGAAATCTTGCAAAATTGTTAAGTCGTACGAAAAATAGATCATCAGAAAGTTATCTCCCTTGCCTTGAACAGCATTTCAACCAATGAAATAATTGAAAATTTTCTCATCATGCAATTTCTACCAATCACAAAAGAGAGGAAGTGCATAGTCCGAAGACTGTAAAAAACTTCAACTATACAATACCGTCTTCCAAGGAGACGGTAATAAAACAGTAATTGATTTTAAAGCAAGTAAAAAAGAAATCAATGTCAAATAAGTGAAATTAGTCTTTTTTTTTCAAGTTTTTCAAATATATTTTAATTGAAAAGAACATAAAGGGATTTTAAAGAAAGATACTAGAATGAGGAATATTTAAATATCAAATAAAGTTGAACAATTTTACAGATTTTCACTTGAATTTTAACTCTGTGTATGAGATTCAATAAAAATATATATTATAGTACCTAAATACAAATAAATTCATCCAAATTTCTTCATGAAAAAGGACACTTCATCATACAAAATCAGGATCTTGCTGAAAAATCTAAATATCGTCGAACTTTCTTTCAATAATACAATTGAAATTTTCTGCTTTGCAGGTATTCTTTCACCATGTCGAGATCCTAGTGTGACAGGTGATTCTTTTGTGGTGATCATGATTAACTTTGCCATCCCATGTTTCAAAGAATTCTTCAGAAATACAACAGATGGACCAACATTATGCCGGTATTTATTCACAGTGTATCTTGATATGACACAATTAAAATGTTAAAATGAGCAAAACAAGTTTCATTTTCTTACTTTATTATCTATTTGAAGTTGTTCCATCTAAATATTGATAAAATATATTAAATGACAACGCATATTAATAAAATATATTAAATGACAAGGCATTAGAAATTTAAACTTATTTCTGTAATTAATTAAATTGTTTTTAAATAGTTTTTTTTTGGAAATTTTCTTTTCCGGCTTCGATTTATATAAGAAATAATTTTAAAAAAATAAATATGATTGAATGTATTAACAATAGCATAAAATTTAAACCAAATTTGAAATTAATACACTTGATTATGGCAATACTTAATTACGCCTTCTCCTCTCATTCAAATTTAGAATGCAACAGCGGATTAGGCATTGTGTTATATCAAAGGTACAAGACAGTGACAAAACGAACTCTACTTGTCTCGTTAAGGATAAATTAAGTATGGCTAACAGGTTTATAGCTCTTCTCCCTGCACAGCTTCAAGAAAATGCTAGTGTTTGTAAGTATTCTTCAAGACAATGACATTTTCCCCGAAACATTCCATTAACTTGAAATGAAAGGCAACGAGGTGTCTGGCACATTTGCTTCATACCGTATTTGAATATTTAATTAGGGAAAGTAATTGATGTTAAACTAACAACAAAAATTCATGATCAACTCGAGGTCACATTATCTTTCTTAAATGAGATGGAACTCTGACAAATAGGTTGATGGCACAAAGGTTTTTACAATGTCATTTAAAGTCATATTCAGATTTGGCTTCGGTTGATACATATCACTGCAATCTGGCTCAAGAAGAAAAATTGACCTATTTCTTTCATAGAGTTTCCTAGGCCATATTTATACTGAATTGACTACCACAGTAATAAAAACAAACTGCAGTATTAATTAGTCGACAGGGATGTTTCTTACACCATGTTCTCAGACACCCATGTTTGCTCTACGACCATTTTATTGTTTCATTAGACTTTTGTCTACGTTTTCTGATTGTTTACTTCATATTTAAATTCAAAACGGTTCTCTATTGCTTTTCCAGGTGTCAAATATTTTTACTCTGAATTCCCTGCACCGCTGGAAAATATAACAGGTAAAACATTGATCTATTCTACTTTAATATTATGTATATATAGTATGGTTGCCATGACATCACAGAAAAAGACCAAAAAGGAGTAAAACAATATTCCACTTATAATTGAAAATAAAAGATGATGCAAAAATAATTTGTTTACTTGATCAAAATTTTTAAAATATAAATTGTAGGGAAAATGTTGTACACCTATATTTGTTCTATGTTCAATAGCAGCAGCAACATATGATAACAATCTCTGTTCTCTACAAACCCAATGATATCATTGATAATCTGTTTTCATCTAGATACTAAAATGTCTGCAGGAAGTAAAGAAACAAACACCGACTTTTCCCAAACAGCAATATTTCGTAAGTTGACACTGATAAATCAATATTGTCTTTTTTAACGTAAAGCTTTGAAGGTAAGATTTTTAAACGGAAATTATTTTCTTTCAAATATAACAATTAAAAAACGCAAAAACTTTTTTCATCTTTAAAAAATATTTTCTGGATTTGATTTCTCGCAATGAAATTTTCTGTTATAATTGTGGCAAAGGTTTCATTAATATTTGTCGATTGCAACATTTTTTGTTGTGGAATATTATTTTTAAAAAAATGTATGATATTTGAACAAATGAAGGAAAGAATTTTGTATTTTTCTCAAAGCAATGTAAAGCATTTAATGTACATCACATTATTTACATGTAATCGTGTTGGTACGATTCATGTATGTTGCAGTTACGGTGGGATTTGCGGTTGCACTTATGTGTGCTATCAGTTTTGCAATCAGCATATACAAAATAAGGTCTGTGTTCTTAAAATTTCGTTCAAAATTGGATTAAAATAAAATTTTCAGAAAAAATTAAATACAAGATCAGATGTGTATCTTTTAGAATGTCATATGAAACCTGTACTCTTCCTGAATTTTCTGGACTTTAACTTTAAACTAAAATCTTTTTTATCCCTAGCTGCACGCTCAAGTGAACTTATCTGAGAAATTGTCAGTTGTCTGTCGTCGTTGTTGTTGTTGCAATTTTTTCTTATTTTATCTATTCAAAACCACTGGACCAATTTCAATCAAACTTGACGTGAAGCTTTTCTTTCCTACGGAGAATTCAAATTTGTTGACAAGAAGAGCCAATCTCACTTTGAGCGAATAATAATTAAGAATTGCAGATAATTTACTACCGTCTTGTACAAATCTTCTCTTCTATCTATATACAGGAGAAAAAAAGGCTTCATTGCTAATTTGGATGTATGCTCATTTTCTACAAAACTAGCTTAACAAATTTACAAAATTCATGTGTACCTGAATGAAAAATCGTCTCAACTATACTATTTGGACATTCTGATCAAGAGATACTGTAATGTCTGAAATTGATGCGAATTTCAATCTGAGTAAATTAAAGCTCTCTAAAACTAGATTTTGGATCATAATATGGTGCCAAAATATTCTATTAGAATAAAAGGTAAATAAAAAAAATATTCTGAGAGTTAGAATCAAGGTTAAGGGACCCAGGGTACAGGTGGACTTTACATGGAACTCTCTTTTATTTTGTTTTATTTACTGTTATTTTTTATTCCCAGGTGTAATATAGGAACGAAAAAATAAAATAACAATTGTTTTTTACATTCATATGTCGACACTATATATCGAAATGAGCTTGAGATTAAAGATACTACAGATCTGACACATCTGTGTTATACTAGTATATGAATATTATACTATAAAACACGCTTATCGTAACCTAAAAACATTACCTTACTTATAACAGCAATATACCCGTATAACCTCCACAAGGAGTTTTTCTCTCAGTTAAGCATGCTATACTTATGAACAGTTCTAATACGAGGTAAATTATTGACAAACATGTTCATGAAACAAGAAAATCACCAGTCTCATTTAAGGTCATCATTTCCTTATTTCTATGGTCAATACAATGACTTTTTTCAGCAAACACAATCTTTCATTAATTTGTATTGCTTAATGGTCTGTCTGTGTTAAATACCGTTCTTTATCTCAATATATTTATTTAATAATAACTTTAAAAAATGCCTTATTTTCCTTAATTTAGAAACTATTTACATGAAGATTTTTTCCCACAATCATATAGAAAAATAGCAATGAGAAAAAGACGAAAAGAATTGATGCGCCTCCCAAGTATTCCAAAATCAAAGGACTCACCATACGAAATGAAATTAACCAATCCAGAGAGTCCGTATTCCGATCCCGACTATGAAACAATAGAGGAACAAGATGAGGGGTACGAACATTTGCCCGGACCAGGCGAAAATAATTTAACTCTAACAGACGAAGAAGGACCATATATAGATCCTGACAATGCAGAAGGAACATATTTAGATGTAGTGCTTAGCGAAACAGTGCCTAATGATTATATCAACGTTTCTCCCTACATTGATTTATTAGATGATACAATTGAGGATGCTCTTAAATCAGAAGTTGTGGATATTTTACAATCAGAGAATGCCGCTGCAAAAAACTTAACCGAGAAAATAGATGAGGAAAAAAATAAAGTGATAAATGTGGATTTTCCACCATGAATGTGCTACCTTACCAAAAGATAATTTAGGGAAACTTATTATTACATTACATGTATATACATTAATTTGTCAGTTTTATTTGTTCATTTATTAGCTCTTTTGACCAGAGACCAGAAGAGCTTATGCGATAGTAATGCGTCCGGCGTCCGTCCGTCTATCCGACTGACTGTCCGTCTGTCTGTCTGTAAACAATTTTTCAAAATGCTACTCCTCCTACCGTTTTGGTCTGATTTCAATATATCTTGGCACACAAGTAGACTACACTAAGATACATAATTCTGTGTATTGGTTTTGGATTCAGATGAACTGTGTTGCGATGGCTACTAAAAATAGAAATTTCTTTGAAAAACATTCAAAATGCTACTTCTTCTACAGTTTTGGTCTGATTTCAATATAACTTGGCAAACATGTAGACTACACTAAGATACATAAATCTGTATAACGGGTTTTGATTTTGATGTACGGTATTGCCGTAATTACTAAAAATAGAAATTTCTGTGAAATTGTTTCAAAATGCTACTCCTCATAGTTTTTGTCTGATTTCCATATATCGTGGCACACAAGTAAACTACACTAAGATGCATAATTCTGTTTATCGTTTTTTTTATTTCGATGAACGGTGTTGATGTGATTACTAAAAATAGAAAGAACTATATGCGGTATATTGCATATATTTGCCCCCACAAAAGCCAAATTTTGAAAACTTCCTGAAATGTGCTGAATTCAATAAATTGTATGAGGAATATAAATTAGCAGAAAATATTATAGTGTCAAAGCAGTGTATTCACAATTTTTGTTTTTATGACGTCACAAACTAGTCCAATTTTATATCCTTTTTTTCAGAAAGAGGACAAAATGGACAAAATTTCAATAATTTTAGCTTTAAAATTTATAGAGCGCAAGTTTGTTCAGGAACAATATTGACATATTTCATTGAAATTATCATTCTACACATTATATCAAAATATTGCTCCTGAACACACATGCGCTCGGGGACTTTTACTCAAAATATCGACGAAATATGTACATTTTTCTGTAAAATTCATAAAAAACTGAAATTTACGTCATGTTTGTGACGTCATTACGTACATATGGCGTCATTACTTAGGAAAATATTCAGTGCTTTGAAGTCAGCATATACTCCCCTGTTTAAGAACTTAATTAAAGATATATCCATCAAAGTTTGATTTGGGGGGCAAATATTGGTTATTACCGAATAAAGTTCTTTCTGTGAAAAACATTCAAATTTAATTCCTCCTACAGTTTTGGTCTGATTTCAATTTTACCTGGCACACAAGTAGACTACACTACGATAAATAATTCTGTATATCGGTTATTGATTTCGATGAACAGTGCTGCCATGGTTACTAGAAATAAGAAATATCTGTGAAATACTTAAGAAATGCACTTTCAAATACAGTTTTAGTCTGATTATAGTACATGTGGCATGCAAATATTGTACACTGAGATACACGATCATTATTCTGTTTATTGCTGTTGTGAAGTTTCAAGTCCCAACTGCCACTTTTCTTTGTTTAGAGTACAAACCAGTAGAGCTACAGTCTCGACAGATACTTCAGAACTTTAAAGAAAACAGTTCAAGTCGACTTTCAGATATCGACGACGTATTATCAATTAACAATGGTAATTTCCGTTCCTACGTCGATACGATATATCCAGGAGAGCTTGAGATAAAAGATACCACACATCTGAATCATCTCTTTCATACTTTGATATTTTACTTGAAAAAGACGCTAATGGTAACCTAACACCAAAGCTCTATGATAAACGTGATGACTTTAACTTTTCTATCGTCAACTTCCCTTCCTTATGAAGCAATATACCTTCATCACCTGCATACGGAGTGTATATATATCAGTTGATTCGATACACAATAGCATGCTCTACGTATGAACATTTTCTAAAACGAGGTAAATTATTATTGACAAGCAAGTTGTTGAAACAAGAATATTAGCAGTTTCGTTGAAAGTCATCAATTTGCAAGTTTTATTGTCGATACAATGACCTTGTCAGCAAATACAATTTATCACAGATTCAAATGCTGACTGACGTTCTTCATACGAATTGTTAGTCCATTATTTATATTTATATACTGAATTAACGACGGATTTTCCGTTATTTCACGATCATGACAATGAGCACACGGCGGGTGTTCCCTAACAAAAAAATACTATAGTTAACCATAGTTTTCGCCAAAGTTTTTCAAAGTGTCAAAGTTTTTGTCAAAGTTTTTCAAAGCGTCAAAGTTTTTGCCAAAGTTTTTCAAAGTGTCAAAGTTTTCGCCAAAGTTTTTCAAAGTGTCAAAGTTTTTATCAAAGTTTTTCAAAGTGTCAAAGTTTTCGTCAAAGTTTTTCAAAGTGTCAAAGTTTTCGCCAAAGTTTTTCAAAGTGTCAAAGTTTTCGATAATGTTTTTTTGATTTTCAAAGTTTTCGATTAAGTTTTTCAAAGTATCCAAGTTTTCGATAAAGTTTTTTTGATTTTCAAAGTTTTTGTTAAAGTTTTTCAAAGTGTCAAAGTTGGCGATAAAGTTTTTCGATATGTTAAAGTAAAGTTTTTCGAAGTATCCAAGTTTTCGATAAAGTTTTTCAAAGTATCCAAGTTTTCAATGAAGTTTTTCGAAGTATCAAAGTTTCCGATAAGGTTTTTTGAAGTATCCAAGTTTTCAATAAGGTTTTTCAAAGTGTCAAAGTTTTCGCCAAAGTTTTTCAAAGTGTCAAAGTTTTCGCCAAAGTTTTTCAAAGTGTCAAAGTTTTCGTCAAAGTTTTTCAAAGTGTCAAAGTTTTCGTCAAAGTTTTTCAAAGTGTCAAAGTTATCACTATAGTAAATCAAAGTTTTCAAAGTGTCAAAGTTATCACTATAGTTAACTATAGTAAACTATAGTTAACTTAAGTATTTTTTTGTTAGGGTTACCGGTCTGCAGGGGATGCCCACTCCTCCATGGCACCTGATCCCACCTCTGATTTTTCGGAGGTCCGTGTTTTGCTCTGTTCCTATTTTGTATTATTTTATGGACTTTGATATTGAATGCTGTTCATAATCACCATAATTTCTTCCAAATTATGTTTCTATTTTTGGTGAATACCTTAAGTATTCTTTGAGTTTACACATATGATTTATAAGTTTTTGGAAAAATTAAGTCATCCTTTGGATCCTCTTTTGAACCCATATAGACTGGACACTTAAGTTTTTATGATAACTCAGAAAAAGTAATTAATGTGTTTTTCAACACTCCTGTAAACTGATACAAGTATGATACATTTCGTTTACAATTTTTACATGATTTTGGTTAATAGTGTGGTACATTATCATTCTTTAAAAAAAAAAAAAAAAAAAAAAAAAAAACTCAGGAAAAAGATAAAGGTATTTTGCTATCACATCTAACCATGAGTAAGTTATTTCTTAATTTAACATATGCTAGTATGTCAATTATAAATTAATGACCACTGGGTGTTTAAAACTCAAACAATGTAAATAATTTAAATTAAAACAGTTTTAACAAGTGATTTCATAGTTAATGTGTATAGTTTACAAGGTGCATGTGGAAAGAACATGATTACACTATACAGATGTAAGGATTGCTTAACACCGCTGAAGCTTCTAATAGAGGACACCAAACACGTAATATCTATTTTACGAACGGTAAACTTGTTTACTTTGTGATTACATGTGTAACTGACGAAACGTACAGACAAATCACACGTATAGAAAAATAATAAAAACATGTGTATTCGTCAATTTGATACGTAGAATGGCTTCAATTGGTGTTCCATTTATCAGTATCATATAAATATATGCATATGTTCAGGTGTGTATTTATTGATTCATTTTGGTAAACTTATAAGAAATGAAAATTGACCCATATTATATTAAAGCATTGGCGGATCCAGAGAGGGTTCTGGGGGTTGGAAACCTCTTTTTAATTTTGTACACACAGAGAGAAAGAGAGAGAGAGATAATAGTTTTTTTTCTGTAATTTAGATATTTATACTTCTAAAAAATTAAAAACTCTGTCCTTTCTGCTCGCTAGATCTGTAGATTTTCGCGTATTTACTTCCCCCGGCTATGGACTCCGAACATCCACAAGTAACATGCAAGGAAGATTCCAGCGAACGTTAGCTATACCATTTTTGTACCATCTTCAGAAGTGACTTAGAAGTATGCATAAATATTTTTAATCAATGAAGAGAAAGGTTTGAAATGTTCCCGTGGTGTGCAGAAGTGGGGGGGGGCACTTTTTCTGATATTAATCTTTTCCTGCAGTTTTAAATAATATTTTGATTTGCAAAATCCCTCCACATTTTTTGTTGCTGATGTACCGAACAGAAAAGTGACAGGAAGCCCCCCTCTATCCCTCCCAATTTTAGAGTGTGGTGCATAGTTTTAAGTTTTTTTTTTTGCTTGTGAAATATTTTTAAGCCCCTTCTTATAAATGAAGCTACGAACTCGAAGTGACTGTGGTGTGTTTCTATACATGAGTGCTGGGTACACCGACCTGGACCCCCCCCCCCTTTAAAAATTTCTGGATCCGCCCATGTTATAGGATGACCTTTCTTTATTACGATAATGTCTTTTAGGTTGTAATAATTATCAATACGACGCTTTGCAAGAGCTGAGCACAATTCAACAATAAATGCAAGTTCCCATCTAGGGTGTCGATATAAGGAACCCGATATAATATAATAACACGATATTGGTCGTTCATATCTAACTAGGAAGTAAAAAGAAAAGTAACTGTAGAAAATATGTACTAACAGTTCAATTCTCAAAATGTTTATTCAGCGGCGAATCTAGGAATTTCAAAACGTTGGGGGGGGGCGCAGTGGGAGATTGGGAAATCTGGGGGCTGCATCAAAGCCCCCAGTGGGTCCAGAACAAATCCCTGGTGGGGATGCAGGGGCAAAGCCTCGGAAACTGAATAAATCTAACAAATTAGAGGCGCATTTCCTGTTTATTTTAAGATGATACAAACAAAATTTAAAAATAACATGATGGGAGGGGCGCACGCCCGGAGCGCCGGTGCCTGATCCGCCTTTGAAATAATTACAAAATTAAAAATATAAAGCGAGTTAAGGTATTCATAAACTAGTAATACGGTTAATATCGTCGAAATATGTTCGTTCGCTGTGTGTTTGGTGTTCTCAAATGTATCATATAGTTAAAAAGTATTTAACCTACATCATTTCTTTCACCAATCTTATACACATAAGGCGACAAAATCAAATACATTTTGGGGGATCAGGTGCCTTGTCAGCATATACAATTCATAAATGAGTCAAATGCTGACTAACGTTTTCCATACTTATTGTACATGTTTGTCCGTTATTAAAACCCTGAATTGACGACGGATTTTTCCATCATTTCCTTATCATGACAAGAAGCACACGGCCGGTGACCAGTTGGCAGGGGGTGATCACTTCTCTATGGCACCCGATCCCCCAAAATGTATTTGATTTTGTCCATTCTAAGTGTACAGATAATCTTTCTTTCCAATAAATCTAAGGAATGTTAAGTAGTTTTCGAGTGTATTGTCTCAAGATTTATACATGTACGTATTCATTTTACTACTTCTTGCATTTTGCCACTGATTCTGCTTATATAATAAGCTACTCTTGCTTGTATTTTGACGACGCATATCGACCATCGTACTTTCGAGTCATGTTAAATCATAGAAAATACAGAATTTACATGAGTTGCAGTGTTTTTGTCTGTAGGCAATACAAAGAGCTGCTTGCAAAAGAACGGATACAAAGATGGTTGCCTTTAACGAGAAACCATTGAAAACCATTTGAGAACTATCACAAACCATTATAACCAATAGCATATCAAAATCTTACTAATTAAAAGTTTCTGTAAGTTATGATTTAAGTAAGTGAAATAAAAAATACAGGTTAAAATCATTTCTAGATATATTATGTTGCCTTGTTAAACAAATTCGCATTTTTACAATGTGACGTTAATTGTGCAAAAATCCATGTGACCTTAATGCGTGCGCGGAGCTGTATTGTTTATTAAAACCCATAGTAATCAAACTACATTGACTTGCAACTTTATATATGCATGTACTATAAATTGCATCTTTTAAAATGTCCTAATATTCTACATGTATTTACATGAAGGATACAAACTTTTAAAAATTTGGTAAGCTTTGAATATTTTCGAAAAAACATACTAGTACATATTGATTTAACTGAAGTCACACTCTTTAAAGTTATAACAAATTGACGTTTGCTTTAAAGATGAGCGCAAAAAATATATCAGTATATATTCTTAAAGGAAAATTATTACACAGAGGAAATGCAAAAGGATCCTTACATCCTTTCTTTCCTTATTTCTTACAGTGCATACACAGAGAGGAAGTTACACCCCGTCTTGATCTTGTTTCTTGTCTCAGATTTTCCATATGTTTCCCTTTTGGTAGAGATTAACTCAATATATAACTCTTGTTTTGTAAATTGTTTAAGTTTTTCAATATGTTTTCCTTTTTATAGAGATTAATTCAGTATGTAACGTTTGTTTTGTAAATTGTGTCAGTTTTTCAATATATCTCGCCCTTGATAGAGATTAACTCAACATGTAACTGTAATGGAACAGAACTGAAATGATAACTGTAAGGTTGTTTATTGGAACATTTTTGTATTCTGTTACAGGTAATTTACTTCTCAGTATTTTACTTCTCAGTATAAGAGGCAGTTACTCAATAACGTTGATTGTAAAATGTTTTCTTCTTATATTTAACTTTTTTAAAAGTCACAACAAAAATACATAGAAAAAGAAATATCTTATATACGGAATGAAAGTCCTCGATTTACAATAATCAACAAGTTACCTGACATAGTTTTGCATACTACATGCCTATTTAACGAGGCCGAGTCTAATTATTTCTGACATAGGGATTTTGATAATTTTTTGATAATTAATTTTTATTGTAAGTTGTAAATATTGTTTTTAAGATTAAAAGATAGAATGTTAACCACTCCGATTTCTTCGGAGATCATATCAAAATTTGTCAAATTTTATTATGAATTGGACACTATGGGAAATTGTTGGAAAAGCGTCGATTTATCACATTTTTTCAATATTTATTGTATTTCTGCCTTAGAGATTTTTTTTTAAATTTAAATACATGAAAGTTAAAAAAGTTACCAAATTGTGAAATTCAACCATCTACTGTGGTCTAGGAATTAATTACTATGTTTAATATATTTTTTCAAGTCCAATACCTAATAAAATTACCTTATTATGGTATAACTACATATCAAAGCATATGAATTATCGGCACATAGGATTTTTTGGGTGAAAAAATTAGCAATGTTTGAATGGCTAGTATGCAGTTACAGAAACTGTTAATTTTGTCTTAAAATCAAAATATTTAGCAAAGGTGTACCGTCGCACAAATGACTGCATGAAATTAAAAAGCGCAAAGCCATGCGCACTCGAATTAGACTCGGCCTAGTTAAAGTCTTATTTATTTTTTTTTTTTAATTTAAAATTAAATAATAATGATGATGATGATGATGATTATTATTATTTTTATAATTGCATGTATTACCATCATATGTAAAACAATCACTAATTTATCGTTTTTTTTTTCTCTTGGTGCCAAATTCCAAGTTTAGAGGGAAAAAATAAAACTAATTTGTACTTCATTTTAAAAACACTCAATTATCTGCTTTACTTTTGAATAGAATCACGCAAAGTCTCCTTGAGATATCAATATTTTTTTCTTATTAATTAAAGCTACATAACTGATAGTTAAAGTATTATAATTCGTTGGCGTCGGAAGCAAATAACAAAGGGGCTTTTAGCTTCTGTGCTTTCGTTCGTGCTTCAACCATTTAAAGTTGAATGGGTTGGATTGGTTGGAGTGCAAAACCTAGGCCGCAATATTCAATGCATATGCTTGTTTATGAATCACAAACGAAGAGAAGTCCTCTGAATTTTATTGAAAATATAATTCTTTACATATCATTAGCTTGAATACAATCTGATCACAATAACCTCTGTGCTGAAATTCAGAGTACGTTGTGGTTAAAAAAACAAGTGCCCAGCAGTACATCGGGGAAAATTGTGTGTACAATATATACTTGCGCGAAGAGTCTTCCTCACAAAAGTTTGTGGTCTTTGTCAATTTCCTACACGTGCATGCTTCACTTCAAACCAACTTTAAAACCGCATGAAAAAAAATACCAAAAAAAAACAAACAAAAAAACAAGTGTAGTTCTTAGAATACAGAAAGAACATTTGTTAAGGTTGAGGAAAAAATAAAGATGAATGAATTATTCTAAAAAAATTATAATTCTAATGTAAGGGATATTTAAAAAACACAATGAGGTTCATTTAAATAAACCCTTTTTCCTAAAACCTATTTCTTCTTCAATCAATTACATGTAAAGCAGACTTTATCTCCGCCGACTGTCGTTTGCCAGGAGTTTTATATCAAGGAACCAAAAACGTGACAGAAACTGGTAAAGCATGTCAAAGATGGGATATACAGAGCCCACACGAACACGCGTATGGTGTGTTTAGCATCGCAAAAGAGAACTACTGTCGGAACTTCGACCGAGAGGAGCCATGGTGCTTTACCAATGACACGGATGTCCGCTGGGAACTCTGTGGCGTAGAAGTGTGTGGTCAGTTTATTTCTATAGGATGGAAAAAAAACTAATTGAATGTTATTTGAGTTAATTTATTAAAAATTTTTATCTTCTATTTTTTTCAGTTACTCCGTGCCTCAATCAGTCTTTATATACAACAGAAATAATGAACCAGTGTGTTTCTGATATCCCAAGCGATAGTGAATTTTGCAGGTAAGAGCTCTTTATATGAACAATAAAATAAAAACGTTCCGTCATTTACATGTACATAATGATATATATTTAAGCATTGAATTCATATTTTCGAATGTCTTTGGTCCTATAACACACCTGGCAGTACCGAAAAATTGAATACCGTGCGTAATTTTTCCTCTGTATAATTGTTTATCTCGGTAATCTTTAATGTGGCTTTAGTGCCCTTCGAATCTGGTGTGCTTTATAGACGTTGTGCCGTTTCAGAGTTAAAAACGCAAGCGAACATTGCGAGGAAA